TTATGCGTAGCGTAACTTGGGCAAGTACACCAGGCGGAACCCATCCCTTTCCAGGTTAGACCACAGCTGATATCCCTCTTACTCGGTCACGGATACATGGCCGTTGTTGTCATTGGAATGATCCTTAGTCCTGGCTGTTGACTCCTGTCGAGGAAGATCTCCACCCAGGGATGCCGTGTCATCACCCCACCAGGCGGATATACAGCTAATAGTTTAAGTTCGATGCTCAGATTTATCCGGCAGCCAAACGAAATCCGCTGTGGCTACCGTTGCTCGGGTGACTCTCTCAACTGGTGTAAGCCTCAGAGTTGTCCACCTACATCAGTATCAGAGATAATGAACGAAAGGGTAATTGTCTTCCGATCGATTCGAAGTAAATGTTTATTAATTATTTTTAACTTCTTATTGTGCCTAATTTATTAAAAAAAAACTTCAAAGTAGGGTCTACTGCCTTCAATGCACTTGTTTTAGCGCTCCAGCATCTTCATGAAGGCCCCATGGAAGTGCTCCAAAGTGAAGGTGTCCATGATCCTTGTCACGGTCACTTTCATCTTCTCAGCGTCTTCCAAATGACTGCCCCTGAGGTTCTTGTTCAGCTTGGGGATCAACTAAAAGTCACAGGGATCAAGGTCAGGACTGTAGTGAAGGTGAGGGACATTTTGGATGCCCATCTCTCTGTCAGCACAAAAATTTATTGCGTAGCAAGTTTCCAAATTGTTTTCACGTCCCGAATGCATTCTGCCTAGTCATCTGTGACAAGCAGTGTTCAGTAGGGTGTGTTCAAAGTCACAGCCGCCTCCTTCAACCTGGAATAACAAAAGTGGGCAGGTTAGATTATTAGATGCATAGTAATGCTATACTACAATTACAATAATCTAGGACAGATAAAACTGCATCTCTGAAAATTTCTGGAATGCCCTTCGTATGTACAGGAATAACATAATGTATAAGATTTTCGGGATTCTTCGCTTTTTCAGGAATCGTAACATACCGAGAGTAAGGGGTAAATTATATATATATACATTTTTATAAATTATAATATAATTTTTAAAAAATAGGTAGAAAAATATTTTGTTTACTATTTAATTTATAGTTTCTTGTTTTCTCTTCATTTTGAATTTTTCAGATTCTACTCTGTGTTGTGAAGGTTTTATCCTGTGTTGTGAAGCATCTAATCATCTAAAAGGACAATATCGTGATTCTTGATAACTGCACCGAGAAATCACTTCATCAGTCACCGACCCTAGCCCAAAGTGAAAGTGAAAGTGAACGTTGATTTACGATGGGTTTTAATTGGGGCAAAAGGTTTATCTCATTTGCTGTAGTCCTTCACTTGGCATATTTTCTAATCGAAATTTGTCTTAGTGCATGGACAAATTCAGTGGCTTTAAAAGCGGATTCCTACCGAATTCTCACCGATGGATTAGCCCTCTCAGTGGGGCTGGTTACTTCATGGGTAAGTAGAGGAAATATTGACATTTGTTATAATAATTTTCACCTTGTACAAAGCCAAGAGCCACTCGAGGTGTATGATTACAGAGTAAAAAATAAGAGGTACAATTTATGAAGATATGGAGGGAAGATAAATTGATTTTCATTTTTTTACATCTTTAAATTGAATAAAGTTCTTAAATCTTTTAAAATTCATTTTCAATGAGATAATTCTTAAAAAAGATTGTTATTAAGTAAAACTATATTTACTAATTATATATTGTAAAGGTTATTACAAACCCCGAATATTTTAAAAGAATTTCGATTTGTTTTTGTATGTGTGATTACGTACAGAATTTCTGAAGTATGAATGTACGAACCGATAAATCTATCATTAAAAGTCACGTGTTTTAAGGGTTGTCTCTCCCGTATAAAGTTTATCGTTTGCTTCTCCATACTTAACTATGAACACGTTCAGTTGTCAGTACGCTGTTAATATATCAATTAAAACGTCAGAAAAACAAGACACGTAGTCAAGAAATGTTTGTATACAACATTTTATGCTATAATATTTGTTTCACATGAAATTAATTTAACTTTAAATTTGTTAATTTTCCTCAAATAACGTTTCAGAAATATATATATTATTTTTGCAAGATTTTTAGAACTGAGAATTAACTTTTGTTTACAAATGTGTCAATCGTTTTGATCGATTTTACTGAAAAAATCGATTCCGATCAATATAATTTCTGTTTGCTTACTGGAAATAGTAAATTTTAAATTGTTTAGCTTTTAATTAAAGCTAAAATGAAAGTTTCAAAAAAGTATTTCATTTTTAAAAATTCATTTTAAAACTTACATATACCGAATTAGTGGTGGTAACTGTATGCATATTCTCCGAAATAACTGTACACTTTGTTTAACATCATGTGTGAGAGTTCATATTGCATAGATATGTCTACATACTTAGTAACAATTCACCAACAGTGCAAAGCCTTTCGATTTTTATAAAACTCAATATGACGTCATATCTTAAAATAATTTCTGAAACCGTCTTTTTGGTAGCAATGCACTTAGACATGCAAGGATATTAACAATTCATGTCACGATTATCATGACTAAAATTATCACGGATGACAGGATTATCTCGGAATTTGTAAAATGTGCTGATATTAAAAAAATACCAATACAAACGTTGAACTCATTTCAACAAATACAGAGGCCGTTACACGCAACAAAGTGCACAGCATGGCTTGCAATTTCAACACATGGTTTATCGGCTCATATTAGTTCGATGAAGAAAATGAGAGACCTCCAACAGTGAATACGGAGATCTATGTGGCAGTGCTGGGGAAGCTTTGAGCATCACTGGGAAAGACGCAGTGGGAGAGAACGAGATAAACAGTGATTCTAGTAAGACGGTCCCTCAATACACACATCAGATTCCCTAGCCTGACTGAGAGAGCGATTTTAGAAGAGAATGATCAGCAGGAAGTGTGACGTTGATTGGGCGCCGTACTCACTGGACTTGAACCCCACAGATTTTTATTTGTGGGGTATATCAAGGATAATGTGTACCAGATCAACCCTCAAAAGACTGATGAACAGAAGGCAGCAATCACAGTAAAAATCAGGGAAATCCCCAAAGAAAAATGCATCCGGATAATTGACAATTTTATGCGACGTTTGTAAGTTTGCTCAATTGGAGCATATTTTGGAAAGAACGTGACTTTTATGCAAAGCGACCAATTTAACTAAAACTTTGAGGAATGATAGTCAATTATGTCCCGTGCGTGATACACGCATATAACTTGGAATATTCAGCGAGTATATGGTTAACTGTCTCATCAGCTTGTCCACACTTGCATTTGTTTTCTTCTTGTGATTTATCTGTCCTGGCCATGATTGCTTTCGTTATGATGACCTTATTCTGTTGTGAATACAAGTGACTCTGTTTCTCCCTCCTTTCAAAAGCGTCTTTTACCCAAAGCTACTTCTCACATCCAGCAATTGTCTCTGTCACCTGAAAAAAAAACCTGACCACGAAGCTTCTCTTCTTTGAATTTGTCATGCTGCTTGTCCTTATGCTATTTCTTTGTGACAATCACTCGCACATATCGTGCTTCTAAATCCCAATTCACTCTACGTGCAACTGTTAGAAACAAATCAATATTATTTTTATTATTATTATTTCCTTTGATCTCTATTGTATACACTTTTCCTTCCGGGTCCCAACCAGAAACCTAAGGTTAGAAATGGCTACATGACATTTTCGACGTATTATTTTTGTAAAAAAAAAAATAAATAAAAAATAACAAGATTACATACATTTTACATAGATAAAGCTCTACAGAATGCTTGAGTTTCACTTGTGAGTACAATTTTTTGCATTTCTTTCGATACATGATTGATGAGGCAGATTTTTTCCCCGCAATAGGTTGTCATTTCTTTCTACGGTAGACCAGTTGTCATCCAAGACTATAGAACCCGGTCTGTCTTGCTGCTTACCCATAGCGGTAGAGTAGGGAGAAGAAGAGGATTCATACCTTTCCCTTTTTCAACTGGAATTCTAACTCGGCCCACCGATTCCTCAATCCGAACCACTATCCATTATGCGACCGTGCCTCCTCCTCAATGAATGATAGTACACTAACTGAAATCTAAATCTATCAAGTTTCTTGAAATGAATTCGATCTTTGCAAGATTTATTACAATATTTATGGGTTCTGTTTGGGGGGTGGCAGGGGGTCACCCTGTATATTAGCAACAATGCATTTTTGTATGCATAAACATTATTATGTTGACATAGTTAATGGAAACTCGCTTCTTGTGAAATGGTTCCAACAAGATTCCTCACAACTCAAGAACTTTTCGGAGAATCGCCAGATTTCTGGAGAGATCTATAATCTTTGACTCAATTCCAATTTTCTTTAAGCGCTTTTCCAGTTTTCTAGATGTTGTTCCAAGTGTTCCCATTACTACAAGAATTAATTCTACATTCATGTTCCATAACTTTTTCCACTTCCCTAGCCAGATTCTGGTATTATTCAATCTTTCAGTTTCTTTAGAGTTCATTCTTGCTTCATGCTTCAATGTTTCATGTTTCATGTCTTTGAACCGCAAAGTCAATGATTTAACAATTTCTATTCTCATTCTCATTTCTCTATTATAACAATAAGGTCGGATTTTCGTGCTTCAATGACATGATCTGCCTGTACTGAGAAATCCCATATCTTGTGACTGTCTTTTTCTACGACTGCCTCTGTTTGATGTTAATACCATTTCCCTTTTACACTAAAGTCAAACTTACAGCATTCTTCGCGATGGATTCTATTGCCAATCCGATCGTGTCGTCGCAGATACTCCTTCGGTGCCAACTTGGAATATTCAGCGAGTATATGGTTAAGTGTCTCATCAGCTTTTCCACACCTCCTGCATTTGCTTTCTTGTGATTTATCTGTCCTGGCCATGATTGCATTCGTTACGATGACCTTATTCTGTGTTGTGAATATAAGTGACTCTGTTTCTCCCCACTTGCAAAACCGTCTTTTACCCAAAGCTACTTCTCACATCCAGCAATTGTCTCTGTCACCTGAAAAAAAAACCTGACCACGAAGCTTCTCTTCTTTGAATTTGTCATGCTGCTTGTCCTTATGCTATTTCTTTGTGACAATCACTCGCACATATCGTGCTTCTAAATCCCAATTCACTCTACGTGCAACTGTTAGAAACAAATCAATATTATTTTTATTATTATTATTTCCTTTGATCTCTATTGTATACACTTTTCCTTCCGGGTCCCAACCAGAAACCTAAGGTTAGAAATGGCTTCATGACATTTTCCACGTATTATTTTTGTAGAAAAAAAAAACAAAACAAGATTACATACATTTTACATAGATAAAGCTCTACAAAATGTTTGAGTTTCACTTGTGAGTACAATTCTTCGTATTTCTTTAAGGCATGGGCTACCGGAAATCTCTTTATAGAGTCTCTCGGGACATTTTCCAATCAATCCGTGGGTTCCAACTATAGCTAGAATTATTGATGTCTTCGGTTTGATTGGAATAGGTTCTGATAGATTCATTGAAGGTATCCCCGATAACCCATGCCTTAAAGAAATACACAAAAAATGTCCTCACACCATACGGAGGGATTTATCAGTGTAATATATGTGTGATCTTAGGTCATTTTATTTTTTTCTATTTATTTTTTTTTTTTTTACAAACCTTTTCATTAAAAATGCCATGATGCCCTCTGTGACCTTTTGTAGACATTTGTAGACAGATCAAATTTGGTAACAGATCTTGAGCATAATTAGATTAGATTTAACGCTTCCAAACCGAAAGTGCTCTCTGTTAATTGTCTGAGAGAACCTCTTTCTGACTTCCATCAGCATGGCTGATGCTAACCTCCATGAGAACGACTCGTTGCGCCATCTCGGGCTAACGTTTTCCGCTGACATGAAGTGGAAAAATTATATTGAATCAATTGCTAAATCTGCTGCTAGAAGAGTTAGTTCACTGTGGCGTGCTAAAAAATTTTTTCACCAGAATCTATCTTACATATTTATAAGTCTACCACTTGTCTATGCATTGAATATTGCTGCCATATATGTCTTAAGCTTCTGTTGTATATTTAGAGATTCTTGATGAAATCCAAAGAAGAATCTGCAATGTTATTGTTCCTCACCTGGCATCACGGTTTCAGTCTCTTTCCAACCGCTGTAGAGTAACTTCCACGTGCCTTTCTATAAATACTTTCATGGTAATTGTTCTGATAAACTATCCTCTTTAGTCCCCAGAGGAATTCAAACGCAGGTCTCGTCATTTTACAACTGAAATTGTTAGTTTTAACCGTAAACCGTAAATTCTATACGAATAGTTTCTTCTTGTGATTTATCTGTCCTGGCCATGATTGCATTCGTTACGATGACCTTATTCTGTTGTGAATATAAGTGACTCTGTTTCTCCCTCCTTGCAAAACCGTCTTTTACCCAAAGCTACTTCTCACATCCAGCAATTGTCTCTGTCACCTGAAAAAAAACCTGATCACGAAGCTTCTCTTCTTTGAATTTGTCATGCTGCTTGTCCTTATGCTATTTCTTTGTGACAATCACTTGTGGAACTCTCTTCCAGTAAACTTTGATTTTAAAAAAGTTTTAACGCAATGTCAATCGTTATCTTCTGTTTTCTTAATTCCTTCTTTCTTATTATCCACTCTCCCTAATATTTTTTTCATATTCTCCCACACTCAATAATCCCTTGCGTTTTAATGGCTTGGGGGTGAAATGATTTTAAAAAAAAATGGACTTTGGATAGAGCTGATCAGGATCGTGAAGATATTAGACGGGTTAGAGTGAGATTGAAAGTGTTCAAATTTCCCCTGAAGCTGACGAAACATTGAAAACCTGATGAGGAATGTGACAGGTTACTTGAGCTAATGAAAAAGGGAGAAAGCGAACTGCTGGTAATTCTAAAGTCATGTGTGTGTGTGTGTGTGAGAGAGAGAGAGAGAGAGGCACTTAGAGCAGAAGTTCAGAACGTAAATGAAATTAGAAACCGGCACTCCAATTAACAATTCCAAGCCATTATCCATTAGACCACACACACACATCCAGGCTTACAGCACTTGCTATTCCCAAACTATCAGCCATCTTAGTACTGACCGGGATCAACATTGCTTAACTTTCAGACTAATGATTTGCCTAATGATGTTGCTTATGCTAATACAAGGCGGTTGAGAGAAAAACCTTGAAGATGAGAGATGAACTGTTCTGGATTGATTGATTGATTTCTTTTTTACGGCTTATCAAACCTTTGTACGTTATTTAAAGCCATAAAATAGTTTTAGATATTAAGAATCTTTTGAAGATTATAATGATTTACTGATACAAATCATAACAATAAGCTAATTAGCTGGTGGGAGGGAGAAGAAGTGAATTCATACCCAAGGCTATTTTTGTGCGTAAGTGAATATAACGAACTCGATTGGAATTAGAACTCGGCTCTTCGAGTTTCATTTTCAAGCCTTTATCCATTCCACCACCAGCACATTTCAATTAAGTATTCCAAAACGGTCACCTATCCAAGTACTAACCAGGGTCGATGTTGCTTAACTTCGGTGATCGTACGAGAATCGGTATTTCAACATGAACTGGCCGTAAACCGAATCGTTCTGAAAGAGGAGAATTAAGAGTTAACATCGCAACCTGATGAAAGGATCTTAGAAAAATCACGGAAGTCAAGCGTGGAAACCTGAGACTTGGAGATAGGTCCAAATGCGAATGGATCGCAGATATCAACTGACTGAAAAAGGAATTCTAGTAAAACGCTAATGCCTAAGACTAGGTTATGTGAAGATAAAGCGATATAATGAACGCTGTCTTCAGTTCTATCAGAACTTGTTTAGAACGAACCAAATGTTGTTCTACGATGTATGTCAGACTGGTAAGTAAACTCAACCACCTGATCCTGCTGAGTCAACAGATTTTGGGAGTTAAATTTGCTCTGATGCCATCAACTGCAACGAGGGCACATCATGGTTACCAGAGATATAAAAGAGGAAAGAAAGCCATGAGATGGTAAATCCGGAATTGTGAAAGTGGCATAGGAAAGGATTCTTGAAAAAGGAAAACGAAGAGCAGGCTTTAAAAATCATCAAGTAGTTTACTTCTTCTATGCGCTGTGTCTCTTCAGGATTTTTGTCGATCATGGCCCTCCACAATTTCCTCTCATTTATAGCTCCTAATAAATTTTGTCTTTTTGCCATCTTTCCCAAACCCTGCTCCGTCATTTATTCACTCAAACTCGCCAGATAGCTTGTGCGTTAATTTCCTCTGGTCTTCTCACCTTCAATCTGTCTTGTGAGTATCAGATTTTCCAAGCCCTCTTTCTTCACTCTTTGCCCCAGAAATATCAACTGCATAAGTGTCCGTTTTGTTGCCATTGAACTTCGTCGTTGCTCATATGTTAGATCCATGGTATTCTCAGCATCCTTCTGTAGAACCATATTTCTTTTTCTTCTTCAACTGTGAAGAGATTGTCCATCATTCATTGCCATATCGGCGGAATGATAGTACGCAACATTTCAGAGCTCTTTTCTTTGTTTTCAATGACATTTTTTCAGTTTCTTAATACTTTGCTTAACTTTTGGATTGCATCTTCGTCTATCCCAATCTGCCTTTAGATTTCAGTATCTCACTTTCCGTCCTCTTTTCAGATATTTAAATTTTTGTGTTTGTTTGATTTAGGTATCTTCAATTTGTAATTTGAAATTTGAGTGTATCCATTTGCTAACAGCGATGCATTCTGTCTTCTTGTGGTTGATGCTTAGTCCTTTCTTCTTGCTTTCTTTCACTACCGTAGGAGTTCTTGTAGTCTTCTAGGAAGGCCAGAATCTATCTTACATATTTATAAGTCTGCCATTCGTCCTTGTTTTGAATATTGCTGCCATATTTGGTCTTGTGCTGCTGCTATATATTTAAAGATTCTTGATAAAATACAAAGAAGTATCTGCAATATTATTGGTCCGGTCTTTACATCTCGGCTTCAGCCGCTTTCCCACTGCCGTAACGTAGCTTTCCTTTTCTATAAATATTTCTATGGTAATTGTTCTGACGAGTTTTTCTCTGTGGTACCTCGACTTTATGAATTTAAGTGCAATACTAGATTGGCAGTACCGTTTCATCATTTTACAGTTGAAATTGCTAGATGTAACCATAATTTATTTACTAGCAGTTTCTTCTATCGCACTTGTCGCTTCTGTAATCGGCTTGCTTCCCAGTCAACTTTGATCTTCAAAAATTTAAATCCAATCACAATTGTTATCTTCTGTCTTCTTAATTCTTATTCTTTTATTGTCTTCTCTCCTTAATAGTAGTTTTTTTTCATATTCTCTTACACTCAGAAACCTCTTGAGTCTTAGTGGCTTTATTGCCTTGCTTGCGGTGAAATGATTAAAAAAAGGCTATTGAAAGTATGCAACATATTATCCGTACCTGCAGTCATCTGGCACAAAAAAAGAATACAGGCGATGCCATCTGAAAGTAGTCCTCAAAATAAATTTGGAACTATGAGTTCGAGTGCGCTGACAATTGTACAACAAGCATTCACTACCGTCAGTAGCCGAGAATGAGCAAATGAAGCTCATGTAGGATGCAACCGTCTTGAATGACAGGCGCTTGGAGAGAAATCGCCCTGACATCACACTTGATCACAAGGGAAGCCATGAATGGATCCCGATGGACGTTGCAGTACCTTCGGGTAAAAACATCGTAAATGTGGTGCAAGCAAAAATACAGAAGCATCAAGATTAGGCGAGGCTAATCGGGGGACTATTCCAGACAGCAGTTCAAGTTGTTTCTTTTGTGGTTGGAGAAATTAAGATTATCTCCAGGAAACTTTCAGACTCGCAGGACGGTTTGGAGAAACCTGACTACATTGCTGGCGTGCAGATGATAAGTTGCTTGAAACAGCTCATATGGTAAGGAATGTGTTGTGTGAAGATGATTGCTGAGATATGATCATCATTACCCATCAGAAATACCTAGGTGTCGTAAAAGATATCAAATATCAAATAACAATAATAAGTAGAAAGACACGTGGAAATTTCACGGTTTTCCGATTTGGATTTTCTGGTGAATCTTAATTTTTAACCACTGATGTTGTTCCTATATTCACCCTGACGCAGATGGTAGCATCTTTTAGGATCTCAACTATGGCCAAATAGTGAACCCAACCAAACAAAAACAAAACACTATAAAATTATAAAAATAATTTTTTTATATTAAAAATACCAGCAATATATTTTTATATAAAACAATTACCAAATATACATAGTTATAGTAAAATGACCAACAATACATTTTATTTGTAGTTGGAGGTATGCAATAGTGTTCAAAACATATTTAGTTCGAGCCATAAAACTGTGTTCAAAATATTTAGAGTTCGGCATTAGACAACCCATCGTACGTGATATGCCGCTAAACAAAATCAACCAACCAAATTAATTCTTCAGTTAATAATTAAATAAGCTCATGGTGAGTTCTGTGACAATAAAACATCAGTAGAAATTCCCCTGTCGCATTGTTAAATATTTCAGCTTAACAAAAGAAATATTGCTATAGCAATCCTAATTATAAATGCTGGTTGTTATTTTAAGAAGTAAGGGGGTACAAATGAAAAGATTTGAAATTGACAACTTTTCCATTTCATTGAAACAGCCGTTAAACATTTCTTTCTTTCTTTTCTTTCTTTCTTTCTTTCTTTCTTTCTTTCATTCATTCATTTACTCACTGAAATCAAGCAGTGTGTTTTCCCCTCTTTCTCCGCGATCAAAACCGAATAGTCCATTATTAATGAGGTATAGACAGGGAGTAACGGTCGTGTGTAACGAAGGGAGGTATAAGCACAATTATAATAGGACTATCCAAATCCCCATTTTACGAAAATTTCTCTTAATAATAATTTTAAAATAATTTAGCAGATGATGTTAAGTTATTTATGGTAACTAGATTTTTGGCGATTGCCTTACTTGGTATCCGTCGTTCGATACTATGCGTCTGAAAAATAGCGTTTTATTGTGGTAGCCATCCCTTCTCTGCCTTTTGGCTGGGATCAAAGTGTAGTATCTGCACTCGGGCAGATAAACTGTATTTTATCTCTCAGTTGTGTTTCTGTCTTCGGACGGAACGCAACTGAAAATAAAAAAATGAAAAAAATGATTTCCTCATTAAACTGACTTTGTGCTACATCCCACCAACTTGAGGTGGCAAGAAAATGCAACCCCTTCTCGGCCTTTTGGCTAGGATCAAAATGTAGTATGTCTTCTTATCAGGTTAATGTGATTCCCCCTCTCTCTACTTCTTTCTTTCTTTCTTTCTTTCTTTCTCTCTCTCTCTCTCTCTCTCTTTCTTTCTTTCTTTCTTTCATTCACTGACAGCAAGTAGTGTCTTTTCCACGCGATCAAAACTGAATAGGCCATTATTTATGAGATATTGGCAGGGCGTAATGGTCGGGCGAACTAACGAACATGTGTTTTTGAGTGAACCAAAGTATTATGGTTTACTTCGATTAACAATTCCAACCCATTATCCATTACATCATTCGCACATCCAAGTTTGCAGCACCTGGTATTCCCAAGCCGTCACCCATCTAAGTACTGACTAGGCTCGACGCTACTTAACTTCTGTGATCGTACGGAAAATGGTGATATGTCACATCATTGGCGCATAACGGCAAAAGATTCATCTGCAAAAAAAAAAAAAAAAAAAAAAAAAGTGACTGCCTAATAATACAAGAAAAAAATCTAATATTTAAGGGCGGCCTCAGTGGTATGAGGTCAGCATTGAAGATAACTGATAATTGACATCCATTAGACATGGCACGTGGAACTAGAACAGTCTACCCCAGCGATCGAAATAAAGGGTTCAGCTCGACATTCCAACCACCTGAAGAAGGCCGGAGCGTACAACGGCCGAAACGTTGTGATAAATATGGCAATAAAGATGAGGGCAATAGTCCGAATAATGTAAATAATGTACATAATACAGGGTAACCCGGATATAAGAGACCCTGATATAAGAGAAACCCGGATATAAGAGAGATTTTCTCTGGTCCCAAATTAGAGCCCGTGTTAATGTATATAAATGTAGACGAAACCCGGATACAAGAGAAACCCGGATATAAGAGACTTCTTCTCCGGTCCCGACAACTTTCTTATATCCGGGTTACGCTGTACCTCATCTCAGAAATATAGATAGATTCAGAAGAATATGGATTGCAAAAGCCTATTGAGCTGCGAACTATCTGTTTTTATGACACTTTATATAGCACCTCCGAATATTTTAGGGACCTATCGCGAGCGCTGTTTTTTTTTTTTTTTTCAATATCATGCAAAAAATTAATACAAGGATTTCTTTTTGTTCTATTTTTAACAATAGGCTGGCCAAAACCAAACTGACAAAAACACATATGGCTGGGTTCGAATCTACGTCTTGGGTGGGTTCATTAGCGGCACACTTACCTTTGCGCTGTTTTTTACGGTGATCACCTGTGCAGTTCAGCGCCTGGTTGAGGTCGAGGAACTTCATGACCCCTCCTTGATTATCATGATGGGAGCCGTCGGTTTAAGCTTAAATATTCTTTGTCTCGTTCTGTTCGGTTCGAAATCCTACACGCACGTTCTGCGAGAAAAGAAACGGAGACAAGTGTATGACGACGAGCCGGAGATTTACACACGACAGACCCTCACCGAAAAAAATAAAGCGGACAATGAAGAAAACGACCCAATGAACAGCGAGGAGAACAAACAAGTTTTTCCAAAATCAAACATTTTTCATATTGTCTATGGATGATATATATATATATATATATATATATATATATTTCGTAAAATACATTTATTGATGCTTTAGTATACATCATAAATGATCCTTTTTTAGCCGAGGTTTATTTTAGGGGTTTCGGGTCGTTCAACATCATACACCCTCCCTCCACGGGTACCCAGCCGATACTGATGATGAATTGGATCATGGTAAATCGATTTGTTTACCTTCCGTCAGCTACAATTTTCCATCTTCCGAAATGCACACCATACGACTCTTCTTGGCAATTTATTGTCTAATGCATATATTATGTTTCTAGCGATGGATGACTTCCGATTATTTCTTTATATATATATATATATATATATATATATATATATATATTAGAGAGAGAGAGAGAGAGAGTTGGATAGATGTTAGTTTGTAAAAAACCCGGATTGATGCTTTCTACGCAGAATTTTAGCGATCTTCAGGAAAGTTTTATTGACGATCGCTTTTAAAGGGTGTGCTAGAAATTTCAAAACCGTTATTTAATTTTCTCCCCTCGTTTTTTATCCAAATCTTCTCTTTATTAAATTTTAATCCTCACTTTTCATCTTTTTAAGCATTTCTGTTCTTCGTACTTCTTTTCCTTGTTTCACCCCTCTCTCTCAAATCTGTTTGCGCCGGACATAGTCGAGGAAAAGATAGAAATTTCCCATTTCTCACACTTGTTTGAAACACTCCCAAATAGGTATGACTTTTGTTGACTCTCAGTCAAAATTTTGGTTTTTTATACCCGCATGAGGTCGTTATATTTTCCGATTTCAATTTTTGAATTTGTTTTATGTCTGTTGATGAATTGGATCATGATTACGATTCCAATCTAATAAATTATCGTTAAAAACCATGGAATATTAGTGCAGACGCCATTTTTTGAGAAGTTTCCTTTTTAAAGACCACTTCAATAAAATATTTATATAAGATACAGAGATATATATAATATATGAATATATCATATACAATTAAATAAAAAATTTTTAATCTATGTGTGTAAATAATAACCCATGCTGGTAGAATCGAGTCAACTGATGCTTATCTATTGACTGCTTTCTTTCTTCATCTACTCTGTCCCACGTTGTGATTGATTGATTAGTGGAGATCGAACTTTGTCCATTGCGTTGATAGAAACCGTGCCATGAAAAACCAAAAAACAACGAACCTTCGCTATATAAATTAAAATACTGGTTTAATTTTCAATTGGTTTTTATCCATAGTGCAAAAATCAACCCTTCCTGCAGAATATAGCGACAAAGGATCTTCCTCGTCGATTCTTTTTCTTCTTTAAACGTGTCCTCAGGATGTCTTTATCCCTTCTAGCTGGTATCCCCAGACCACGGATTAAGCCCGCCAGGTATGTTGCTTTTCCTTGTCTCTCTTTCCCTCTATTCGACCCGTGAGTATCAAATTCTCCCTCCTTTCTCGTTAGGTGTCTCAGAAACTTCAGCTGTCTCTTCCTGATTTTAAGTATAAGTTGTTTGCATCCTTTCCAAGACCTCATCGTTGCTCATGCGCTCTGTTTATGATATCCTCAGCATCCTTCTGTAGAACCACATTTCCGTCACCTCGAGTCTCTTCTTCATCTTTGAGGAGACCGTCCAACATGCGCTGCCGTAAAGGCGAACAGATGTCACGTGCTCAGTACTCTTTTCTTTGTTACCAAAGAGATCCTCCTGTCTCGCAATACTCTGCTCAGCTTTTGGAGTGCGCCCTTCGCCATCCCAATACGTCTACGGACCTCAGTGTCGCACTTACCGTCCTCTATCAAAAAAGATGTTTAAATTTCGCACCTTTTTTAGTGGACTTGCTTCACCCTTTACTGATGACCCTGCATTCTGTCTTCTTGTAGTTTATACTTAGTCCCTTCTTCTTGCTCTCCTTCGCTACCTTCTGTAGGAGGTTTTGTAATTTCTTTCCCGTGCCTTCTATCAGATGCGTCATCTGTGTATCTTATGTTGTTAAGATTGTGGCCGCTGAAGCTACAACGCGGAATTATGTCGGTCGGGAATTTTAGGTGGCCGGGTAACGTTGGTTCAATAGATCACCTCGACTAGCGTTGGTCGTAAAATGGGCGTACGGACATCTTTCTTTGATTCGTGACACTCATTTCCTTCGACTTTGTTGACTCTCGATAACGGGTTAACTATTTGAAACCACATAACTTTGTTTTTACATTCCTTTGTTACTCCACGATTATTGTTTACGAATTAATTCTTGTATATAAAAAATTCATTCCACATCAGCAAAGAATTCACTTGCTTTTAGAAACCTTCTCTTTCTCCACGCAATAATTTCTTGGTCTCGACAAATACTTTTGGTCATTTTCAAAACAATCACCTATTGTTTACATTTTCAAACAACTCAAATATTGCCTGTGTCGATCGGCTGCTTTTTTTTTATTTCAAATTGGCTAAGGGAATTTATCCACAAATAACTATGAAATCTTCCAAAAAAAGATTTCCAACCCTTATAATCATTTTCCTGGCCTCATATTGCAACGTTTTCCTTCAATTTCCAAATTGCAGCCTTTCTAATGCTCTAATCTTTGTTTCTATCCGGGTTCTCGCATGAACCATTTCTTAATACGTAATCGGTAGTGAATTTAAATAGTGTCAAACTTTGATCATCTTAATTCAATAAAGACATTATCAGAAAATAAGAGCGATAACTATTTAAAAACCTAAAATTCAATAAAACATTGTAACGGAGAATATTTTCCTAAATTTTAAGATTATTGTATAATTAAAAATAAATAAAATGGCGCACTCAACTAATTTTTACAGATATGTTCACCATAGAAAAAATTAAATTTTCCATCTGTTAGTCAATCTGTCAAGACCTACGTCATTATTAAAAAGCATTTCTGTGATATTTTAAACTAAAAGTAAGGAATATTTATTTTAAATCAGAATAATTAAACTTTAAATCATCTAATATTCCTTAAATAAAGTTTTAGAAAAGTATATTTTATTTTTGAAAGATCTTCTTAATAAAAAGAATAACATTGTGATGACAGATGGCTGAAAATGACGCTAAAATCAGCGATTTTTAGTGATTTCAAAGCAAAAACTATTTCTGATCAATTTAAATTAGTTTTTACAGACAGTAAAGTATTTTTCTTATAGGAAAAGTTGAATTTAATCTATATAAAATAAACGCTTCAAGAAAGATTTTTCATTTTTAAAAATTCATTTTAATCCTTGGGTATCGCGTTTCTGTGAAGGTATCTAATTTATACGGAGTGAACCTTCCTCGCGGTGAACTTATCCGTAAAAGCTCTTATCGAACCAAAAAAGTAAACATTTTGGCTGTAGGGAATCTATATGACTTGTGTTCAATTACAAATCCTGGCAAGATTATAATTTGTGAATTCAGCACAGGTGATAGAGGAAAGGGCTTTGTTGGAACAACTATCCCTTATGATGATAAGAATGAACAAACAAAATGGGTAGACATTTTGGTTAAGAAGACTCTATATATTTCGGTTGCATCCCAAATCCTGAAATAATTTTGGATTTGTGAAATCAGCTCAGGTGGTAGCGGAAAGGATTTATTTTTTTAGGATGAAAGGTTTTAATTAACTTTCAGATAAGAACTAGAACTGCATTTGAGAAACAAAATGGGCTGACATTTTGTGTTGAGGTGAAATTTGTTGATAGAATTGAATTACTTTGTCAAATACCTCGACAAAACAGAGGAACTAAATGCTCTCTACTTTGATCACGACAGCACTTGTCATTTGCTGCTTTTTTTTTTTTATTTGTTAATATCAGACGACAAAAAGTCCAACCCTCGTCGACGCAACATCAGTATGTGCTTCGTCGCCCTTCATGTAATCGGTAGCAATTTTGGTTCGCTAACTTTGATCATCTCCGGCGTGCTGACTTTGTACGGCGAAGGGCAATGGTGTCACTATGCAGATCCTCTCCTCACTATTGTCATGATTACAATCATCACAATAAGCGATGCGCCATTATGTAAGTAGTTTTTTTTGGGGTTTTTTTCACTCTCTGTCTTCATATAGATAGATAGATCTGAACAGAATTTATCTATCTACCTATTTATCTATTCGGTCTAAGATAAATAAATAGATAAATAGATAGATAGATTCTGTTCCGATCTATCTATCTATCTATCTATCTATCTCATACACTAATATTTCATAGATAGATATGAACAAACTGGATAGATAGATAGATACATAGATAGATAGATAGATAGATAGATAGGAACAGATTGAGATAGATAGATAGATAGATAGATAGATAGATAGATAGATGAATCTGAACTTAATATATCTATCTACATATTTATCTATTCGAACTGAGATAAATAAATAAGTAGATAGATTCTGTTCAGATCTATCTATCCATCTATCTATCTATCTCATATACATTTTATAGATAGACATAAACAAACTGAGATAGATCGATCGATCGATAGATAGATAGATAGATAGATCTGAACAGAATCTATCTCCTATTTATCTATTCGAAATGGGATAAATAGATAAATAGGTAGATAGATAGATTCTGTTCATATCTATCTATCTATCTATCTATCGATCGATCGATCTATCTATTTCAATATGTTCCTTATCTATCTGTCTATCTTAATATGTTCATTATCTATCTCTGTTCATATGTATCTAAATCAGTTTGTTCATATCTATCTGTTCATATCTATCTCTCTAGCTAGCTATTT